CTATGATATGTTGTTATTGATGTCTTTTTCCTATATGTTTTTATTGATTTTAGAGAGAAAGGAAGGGAAAGGGAGAGAGAGAGAGAGAGAGAGAGAGAGAGAGAGAGAATGAGAAAACATTGATTGCTGCCTCCTGCACAACCCTATGTGCACATCCCTCCTGCACAGCCCACAGCAACCCAGATATGTGCCCTGACTGGGAATCCAACTGGTGACCTTTTGGTGCCTGGGAAAATGCTCAACCAACTGAGCCACACCAGCGGAGGCCTTTTTCTAAAAATGGTAATTAGCTCCAATAATGCAAAACATATAGTACAGCCTTCCATTTCATGGTTTTCTTGTCCTGGAAAATCGGGTTTATATTAAAAACATGCTAAACTATGATGTGTCTATTTCTAAGATGAAGTTCAGTTTAGATTAGGAAATCATAAATGTCTTTCATTTGCTCCTTTTAGCAAATGTTTCTGTGGGCCCATTATGTCTGGTACTGGCCTAACCACAGTGGGGACACAGATCTTATTTCTTGCCAAGAATATGGTTATTCAAAAATATATTTTATTCCTGTGAACTGAAGGGTCCCGGGTTCAATTCTGATCAAGGGCACGTATCTCGGTTGCAGGCTCCATCCTGAGTCTGGGCCCATGTGGAAGGCAACCAATCCATGTGTCTCTCTCACATCAATGTTTCTCATTCTCTGTCTCTCCCCCTCCCTTCCACTCTCTCTAAAAATCAATAGAAAATATATCCTCAGGTAAGCATTAACAACAACAATATATATATATATAATTGCATTGCTCACTGTCTTTCCTCCTTTACTGAAAGGTCACCTTGCAGTGAGGCTTTTCAAACCACCTTACTAGTATTTTAAATTTAACAATCACCTCGTTCTCCACATGCTCATTCCCTGCTGTAAACGTCCCTATATAATTGATCATATCCTTTCATATCACATTTTTTCTCTTTTAGTGACTTCCTGTCAGTCTCCCCTGACCAGAATATAAGATCCATGAACACATATTTCTGTCTGTTTTCTTGTCTGCTGTACTCCGTCTACAACAGTAGCTGGCATAGAATAGCTACTCAGTAATACATTTTTAATGAATAAACTTAAGAACTTTTAAAAGTGTTAAGGCCTGTATAAATGAAAGTTTTTTTGTCCTCCCAAGACAGGGTTTCTCCCAGGCTCCCACAACCCCCTAATCACACTGTTGCAATTGAGTGTCCTCCAAGATAAGAGTTCCTGAAGGCCAAGAACAGAGAGGTCCTCACAGTGAGCGTTTCTAGAACAACCTGCCTGGGGCTGGAGAGCAAGAACCAAGTGGGGAGAGGCTGGAGGTGGCAGAACTTGGCGGCAGGGGCACTTAGTGCTGTGTCCTCCCCCCAGTGCACTCCCTGGAGGAAGAATGCCTGCTGCTCTGTCAGCACCAGCCAGGAGCTGCACAGGACACCTCCCCCCTGAATAACTTCAACTGGGACCACTGTGGCAAGATGGAGCCCGCCTGCAAGCGCCACTTCATCCAGGACACCTGCCTGTATGAGTGCTCCCCCAACCTGGGGCCCTGGATCCAGCAGGTATAGGGGAATCCTCACCCCACCCCACCCCGCCCCAGTAGGCTGCCCTCCAGCTCAGTCAAAGCTGTGGCTGCCAACAGGCCTGGGCTGAGGAACCTTCTCATTTTACCTCCCACCCAGGTGAACGACAGCTGGCGCAGAGAGCGTTTCCGGAACGTGCCCCTGTGCAAAGAGGACTGTGAGAGCTGGTGGGAAGACTGCCGCACCTCCTACACCTGCAAGAATAACTGGCACAAGGGCTGGAACTGGACCTCAGGTGAGGGCTGGGTGGGTGGGGAGATGGAGGCGGGGTTTGGGCAAAGGCGGTGTGAGGATTCGGATTGCCTGAACATCTCTCAGGTAAGCAGGGCTGGATGTCTATGTCTACTCTATCCTCTCTCCCCCTGCAGGATCTAACAAGTGTCCAGTTGAGGCCGTCTGTCGCCCATTCGAGTCCTACTTCCCCACTCCTGTGGCCCTGTGTGAGGGCCTCTGGAGTCACTCCTACCAGGTCAGCCAGTACAGCCGAGGGAGTGGCCGCTGCATCCAGATGTGGTTTGAGCCAGCCCAGGGCAACCCCAATGAAGAGGTGGCGAGGTTCTATGCCTTGGCCATGACTTCTAGGGCCATGCTCCATGGGATTGGGCCTCTCCTGCTCAGCCTGGCTCTGATGCTGCAACTCTGGCTCCTTGACTGAGTCCAGCTCTTCCCAGAGGTCCCCTCTGTCTGTCCCCAGCTTTGAGGCACAAGGATCAGTTTTGACTCAGCACAGGTCCACAATGAAGCCCTAAGCTTGCCTCCATGCATTATCCATCCCTCTGTCAACCAGTTCCTCATGTGGGGCTTGGGGTTCCTCTGACAGCCAGTTCTAATAAACAGACAGACATATTTGTGTCTGATGAATTATTTTGGTTGTGAGTTTGTGGGTGCACAGTGGAGAGATTCCATAGTTTTGGGATTCCTGCATATATATATATATATGTGCAAGCCTGGTGCATGAAATTTGTGCATGGGGGGGGGTGTCCCTCAGCCTGGCCTGTGCCTTCTTGCAGTCCGGGAGCCCTTGGGGGATGTCTGACTGCTGTGGAAGCAGCAAGAGAGGCTCCTGCCACTGCCACGGGGCTCCCCAGACTTTAGCCCAGCTCAGGGCTTCTGGCTGAGCAGCGCTCCCCCTGCAGGAGCCCACTGACCACCAGAAGGCAGCTCCTTCGATGAACGTCTGCCCCCTGGTGGTCATTGTGCATCATAGCAACTGGTTGTTCTGCCATTCAGTTGATTTGCATATTAGCCTTTTATTATATAGGATCCATATATATAGATTTCAGAGAGGAAGGTAGAGGTAGAGAGAGAGAGAAACATTCATGAGAACCATTAATCAGCTGCCTCCTGCACGCCCCCTACTGGGGATTGAGCTGGCAACCCGGGCATGTGCCCTTGACTAGAATCGAACCTGGGACCCTTCTGTCCACAGGCCAATGCTCTATCCACTGAGCCAAACCAGCTGGGGCAGTTTTTGGATTCCTTCAGATTAGAGAAATGAAACCTGGGTTTCAACATCAGCTCACCTACTCACTATGTGAAAGGAAGCCGTTGCTTGACTGCTCTCAATCTTTTTCCTCATTAAAATGGGGCTAATAATCCTTCCTTCCCTCAGGGTTGTGAAATATAAAGGAGCCGTTGCCTAGAAAGTATGTGAGCCCAGTGTGTGCATATTAATAGTTCTCAGGGATCCTGTTGCTCTTGTAGCCCCAAGTAAGAGTCAGGTCCAGGACTTCATTATTTATATTGGTCTTTACATATCCCCTTTCACCCAGGCCTTGTCTGTCTGCCTCTGTGCTCAGGTCTGCAATGAGAAAGCTAGGGATGGGGGTCCAGAGGTGAAAAAATAATTCACAACTGATGTGGACTAAAGGGGCAGAGTTGGGGCTTGGGACCCTCACTGTAGGAAGAGAGTGTAGGAGGAGGGCAATCGGGGAGGTTCCTGGAGAGCAAATACTCAAGTGCCTTGAGCTGGTTCCGTCAGGCTATGTTCTGGAGGTGTGGCTGGAAGAGGGTTGGGAACTCTTACCTTTGTCCCCACCTGGCAATGGTAGAGACGCCTACCTGGGTGGTGATGGTTCTGTCTTTGCACAGTCCCCAGGAACTGGGCCTCGGTTGCTTTCTGGGGCTCTCACTTCCCCCCTTCCTCCCGAGTCTCCGAACTCAGACTGCAGTTATCCCTAGAGAGGCACCGATACCTGTCTGACACCATCAGGCAGGCGGGTGATCAAACTAGAACCAGAATGCGGCCTGAGTACTCCCAGTCCAGGTCTCTCCCTGCCGGCCTGGCTGCCCCCTCCTGGCAGACTCACCTTCCCTCACACCAAGAGGACACTGACTCGGTGAGAGAAGTCGGGCACAGACTGGCGGACGAGTTAGTGGGTCCCTGTAGGGGCCTGGCGACACTGCTGGGTACGTGGGTGGGTCTCTCAGTGACTCTATTTACCAAGTTGGGGAGGTCCCACCGAGCCCCCTCCGCGTCCCAGGCTTTGCTCTAGCAGGAGTAAGTCAACGCGTATTCGAAATGCGGTAGAGTAAGGAGCTGGTCGGGACTCAGACACTCCATTCGGCAAAATGAAAGTTCTCTCCCAGATTAAAGGGGCACCTGCGGCAGCCGTCCCGGAGTTGGCAGCCGCGGGAGCCAGGCTGCAGGCCTGCGCCTTTAAGGAGCCAGGGGGCGGAGGCGGGGCAGGAAGCGGACTCCCCGGCGGCGCCACGGGCTAG